TAATGTTTACTAAGCAATTTTTAACAAAGTTTGACTTTCCTAATTTTAGTTCTTAAGTTAAACATTCTTATTATTAGACTCTCATGCAAAAAAGTATTGAGTCTCTTGTATAATACTTTTATGAGCAGTATTATTGTATAATACTCAACCCCGGTCATGGGTTGAGTTTAAACCTTATTGAGATTGATGGGTGTGAATACACCATTCAGATAACATATCTCTAAAGGTATATTAATCACAAGCCTTCATCTTAGGAAAAAGGATTATGTGAATTCACTCAGGAGCTTTGGACTGTATGAAAGAGAAGGCTTTTGGCTTAATTTTGTGTATGTGAGAAAGTACACAAAACCAGAGAATGACAGAAACAGTCCAGAGAAATCGAAGCAGCACCTATAAGCACAGTATGACACTGGGAGAAGCTAAAGAGAGTACGTCTGGGTCTGGTGCTGTCTAAAGAGGCTTGGAGCTATATACACAGAAGCTATTCCATGGTTTGCGGTCTTCATGTAGGTGGAAAAACAGGACTTTATACATTATTTGTAAATAAAGATTTCATCAAAGAAAATACCAGAGTTTATCAATCAATCAACTGGAATATCCTCAAACCATTAGAATAAAAAAGGGGAAATGCACATATTTTACAATGGATGAATTTTAAAATTCCTGGAATTCCATTTTTATTTTGGTTTAGGTAAGAACTCACAAGTTTGGATATTTAGCTAAACACTTTTAGTTTGGAGAATTAGGCTGTATTACAGGAATCAACTTTCTTTGTTATTTTTGGTGGTTTCAGAAAACCGAGAAAATACCTTGCTGAAACAAATTAGTGTTTTTAGGAGAGGCTCACACATTGCCTTACAAAACTTTTATCTTAAAAGTTTGTGTTTGTAAACATATACTGATTATCTTAGGGTTGATCAAGCTCGCACTGTAGTTAATGACAAATTTTCCTGTGACTTTAATGTGATTAGGTTACCATCAAGTGATCCATCCACTATCACCCATTCCAGAGTCTAAGGACACAATTCCTGCCCAATAACCACTGATGGACCTCTCCACCATGAATTTATCTACCTCTTTTTTGAATCCTGTTAAAAGCCTAACCCATGCATAACAGAAGATGGCTTCAACCCATCAACCTTTGGGCTGTGGACCCAGAATATTTCTGCTGCCCTACTCTGTTCTGTGTGTGTTAAGAGATCTTGGTTACACTCTTGGCAGGGATCTTCTTGGAGTTTGGCTTCATGTAAGAGAGGGTGAGATGAAAGCATTCTGAAGCATTCAAAAATGAGTCAGATCTCAAACAATCATGAGATAGGTTTAAAAAATATGACATTTTAACAATTTGTTTTGTGTTCTTTGTATTAGCCTGGTAGTTTCTGGGCCATCAGGTACACTTAAATCATGTTTTCAAGCATGGCTGTGACACCAGGCTACAAGCATACATCTCAAAAAATAAACAAGCTTTGCCCAGGAAAACTATGTTTCTCACCTAAGGTGTGTCTAGACTACAGGGTTTTGTCGACAAAAGTGTACTTTTGTCAACAAAACTATACCTGCATCTACACTACTGCCAAGTTCCGTCGGCAGAACTTGGCAGTTTTGTCGACGGTGGTAAACCTCATTCTACGAAGAATAACGCCTTTTGTCGACATAGTTCTGTCGACAGAAGGTGTTATTGCATCTATACTCTAATGTCGACAAAGTGGCTTGCTTTTTCGACAGATCTGGATCTAGTCTAGACATTCTTTGTCGACAGAAGCTTTGTCGACAGTATCTAGACGTACCCCTACTCACTTGACATCACAAACTGGGACTGTAGAAAAATATAAAATGTTACATGACTTGCATTATGCTCTCCATAGTGGGAGATGTGTATATATGAACGTATTAGAAACCAGGAGCAGGGATTTGAAGTAGAAGGGCTTGTTTTTCACTAGGGAGAAAGAGGGCAAAGTGTGCTGTTGATATGGTGGGGAGAAATTCAAAATAACTTACATTTTTTTAAGAGGAACCACTGAAAAACTTTCAACTTTTCAGCTGTGGCAGCTACACGGTTTTTTTTAAGTCCATCTTTGAGGAAAATAACTACAAAGTTAACATAAATGCCAAAAATTATAAAACAAACCCAAGTCCAACAATTATAGGTTAGAAATTATACTTAGTGCTAACGATCAGAATTAATAAATACCACTGGGATCTGACAAAGTTTTCAAACTTTGATAAGGGATAATGCTACAATTAACCACCTTGTCTTCCAGAAAAAACTTAAGGGCACTAATTCCCATCGAGGTCAACTGAATAAAATAAACTTGGGGTGTATATATCAAGCTGTTTTAGAAAAATGACATTCTAAGAAGACTCTTTTAAAATATCCTGGATTTTTAAATTCTCGTGTCTTCAAGATGCCTTGTCTGATTAACCTCAAACCTGGGAAAAACAAATCACCCGCAGTTAGAAACCAACACAAGAAATTTAAAACAAAAAATAGCTTATTTGAAGGTGGTAAAAGGGATGTAGAGTCAAAATAGATTTAATAGGAAAGCAAGGAATAAAAAAATTGCTCCCATTCACATGTATCTAATTCTGCTTATCGGTGGTCTAGTGGGTTGAACCCAGCATGGGAGCCAGGAATTGTAATAATTTACTATGCAGTCTTCATTGAATAATTGAATCACTCTGTATGTGTTTCCTCACCTATATGAGGCTTACCTATAACCAGGTTTATGTATGTGTAAAACACTGTTGTATAGAGAGTAAGTGCTAAGTATTATAAATGTTTACATACTTTTACATCTAATCTACATATTTATTTATAAATAATGCTAAATGTTAGAAATGGGCCCAGACAGAAACCCTGATTCTGAACACCTCTGAACTTTGGAAAAGTTCTGATCTGGATACAAACATGAACTTTGTGGTTCAGGCACATCTTTAATATTCATCAATGTGTATTTCCTCTTTTTCCCATATAAAATCTGAATCACAACGCCAGTCATCCTGTTAAGGAAAACTAAATGGGTCTCCCTATAGACACCAACTAGGCTTCTCTTATGCTTTGATCCTGCAAATAATTAAGCGCATGTTTAAGTTTGCTTTAAAAAATTGTTCCATGAGCACAGTTACAAACATCTTGGCTACGTCTAGACTGGCCACAAATTCCGGAAAAGGGATGCAAATCAGGTAAGTCAGCATAGGGAAATCTGCGGGGGATTTAAATATCCCCCGCGGATTTAAATAAACATGTCTGCTGCTTTTTTTCCGGCTTGGGGAAAAGCCGGAAAAAAAGTGTCTAGACTGGTGCGATCCTCCGGGATAAAGCCCTTTTCCGGAGGATCTCTTATTGAAAGTAGGAATAAGAGATCCTCCGGAAAAGGGCTTTATTCTGGAGGATCGCGCCAGTCTAGACGCTTTTTTTCCGGCTTTTTCCCAAGCTGGAAAAAAAGCGGCGGACATGTTTATTTAAATGCACGGGGGATATTTTTAAGTATTTGCCAGATCTGAGCCAAACATGCTGCCGTTGTAGCAAGTCAAGTTTTGGTGAAGATGTTTCTGTGTCCAGAAAGTTGAATAAATTAATTAACTAATCAGTAAGAAGTGAAGATATTTGGTAATTTTATGGTGGAGAAAGTGTCAGATTAGATCTGTAAAAAAGATATATATTCAGGATGTTTCCATCTAACCTTACAGTTTCTTATTGGTCAAAAGTCATTAATGTAAAACTTTAAATTTTAAATAGAATTTTATAGAAGCATTATTTCTGAATTGATTAGAGAATGTGGCAAGAATAGAAGATTATGGACAATTATGCAGACCAGAACTGAGTACTTGGGTTTAACAAACAGCTTTGAGTTCTAATTTTCTGCAATATATATACAGAAGGTACTATTTGAACTCATTACTGTGTATTGGGAAATTATTTAAAAAACTTAAATTTATTGATACTTCCTATTGCACCTTCTCTGGCTTTTAATTGGTTTTATCTAGTTCTGTAAAAGAACTATTTAAAGTGGAGTCCCTTCTATCACATATCTTATCCATCAAAAGATAGAGATATTTCTCTACAACTTGTAAGTTTTTTTTGAAAACTGAAGGGTCTCAACAATGAATTAAAATATTTAACAGAAGATAATTTATGCATTTTTGATGGGCATTGTTTTGTAATAGCAAAATAACAATGTTTTGTAACAGAAGGGTTAAATCTTAATCTCAGAGGTTTACAAAGCTGCTAGTCGCAGTCTCCTTAAAATTTAATATACCTCGTTAATGCTTACTTGCAAACACTGAAGGATTTTTATGATTATAATCATGTGTTACAGCACCTAGTACTGTTTCTAAGCAGCATACTAATCAGCTTAATGAGATATTACTGCACTTTTTGTTGACTGAAGCAAAATCCCTTTTATTGTTCTAAAGCTTGTCCTTTACTTTATTTTTTCCAAAAACATTATTGTGTTTTATTGTATACCAGTAAATATCATGCTTTAGTTTTTTGTCAAATCATAAAGCTATCTTTCTCATTGTGGAATGTGTAATATATTGAAAATGGTTAATAGAACTGAAAGTTATAAATGAATTTCTATTTTTTGCTTTTTGTTCATGTTTTTTCAAATGGAAATGGGAGTTATGCTTAATGTTTCATTTCTGATAGCTTGAAAAATAAACAGGTGCAATTTCACAGGATGTAGGAGACATTGAAAGCTTATGGCACCTCTTTAGTAATTAAATATTTAAATTGGCAAGAAGTTATTTTAAAATACTAATTAATAATTTCAATCAGTAAACATACAGTTCAATGAATGCAGTATATAATTAAGAAGAAATATGATCACAACTGTATGATATAATTAGTATTTAATATTTTTATTGTTTTCTAATATAATATTTTTGCATTATGTGTACGTAAAACATAACATGCAAATATTATGTCCGCAGATATAGTTGATTCACTGCTTATAACTATTTTGTAGTACAAATCTAAACTATCTCCTTATTTTCAGGGATGGAGGAAGCTAGTTTGTGCCTTGGTGTTTCTTCAGCTGTACCAGAAACTGACGCCCATCTCAATAGTACCATACTTAATGGCCAGTATTCAATGAGCCAGAAGCTGCATCAGATAACTTCACAGCTCAGTCATGCCTTTCCAGAACTTCAAAACAGGCAGAACACTGAGGAGAAGGCATCAGCACCGCTAGAAGACAAAAGTCATGTGACTATAGCAAATCAGCCAATCAGCAGTCAAATGGCCCTGTTAGCCAACCAGCTCAATAGAGATGTTGACACCAGTTTGAATGGAAGAGTGGATTTGCAACAATTTTTAAATGGACAAAATCTTGGGATCATGTCTCAGATGAGTGATATTGAGGATGATGCCAGAAAGAACAGAAAGTACCCATGTCCCCTCTGTGGGAAACGCTTTCGATTTAATAGCATTCTATCGCTGCACATGCGCACTCACACTGGAGAGAAACCATTTAAGTGTCCATACTGTGACCACAGAGCAGCTCAGAAAGGCAACCTAAAGATTCACCTACGTACTCACAAACTTGGAAACCTTGGCAAAGGCCGTGGAAGAGTCCGAGAAGAAAATAGGCTTTTACATGAGCTGGAGGAGAGAGCAATTCTGCGAGACAAACAGATGAAAAGCAGCCTTTTGCAGCCACGACCTGATGTGAAACCACAGCAGCATGCGCAGTCCCCACCTCTTGCAAATTGTAATTTGTCTGTGCCTGCAAATCACAGCACATCTGATATTTCGAACCCTGTCCCCTCTCCCAAGCCTGTCAGTGTCCAGGAAGAAGTAGTAGCTCAGACTGCTGGGTTCAGATGCACATTTTGCAAAGGAAAGTTTAAGAAGCGCGAAGAGCTGGACAGGCACATAAGGATCCTGCACAAGCCTTACAAGTGCACGCTGTGTGACTTTGCTGCCTCCCAGGAGGAGGAGCTGATTAGTCATGTGGAGAAAGCTCACATAACTGCAGAGTCAGCTCAAGGCCAGGGATCCAATGGGAATGGAGAACAATCGACCAATGAGTTTCGCTGTGAGGTGTGTGGCCAAGTCTTTAGCCAAGCCTGGTTCCTTAAAGGCCACATGAGGAAGCACAAAGATTCCTTTGAGCACTGCTGTCAGATTTGCGGGAGGCGCTTCAAAGAGCCTTGGTTTCTTAAAAATCACATGAAAGTCCACCTGAATAAATTATCCGTAAAGAACAAATCTCCTAATGATCCTGAAGTACCTGTATCCATCAGCAGCATGTCACAGGAAGCTCATGCAAACTTGTATTCACGCTACTTATCATGTTTGCAAAGCGGCTTTCTTCCTCCTGACAAAGCAAGTTTAAGTGAACAAAATCAGATGTATACCAAAGGAGATTTGCCCATGAAAGAGAAAGAAGTTCTGGGGAAACTCCTTTCACCCATTTCTGGCATTGGCCACAATATTGCGGAAGGGGATAAACACTCTTTATTGGGCTGTCTCAATCTGGTGCCTCCTCTGAAATCCAGCTGCATAGAAAGGTTGCAGGCTGCTGCCAAGGCTGCGGAGATGGATCCAGTAAACAGCTATCAGGCCTGGCAGCTTATGGCAAGGGGAATGGCCATGGAACATGGCTTTTTGTCTAAAGAGCAGCAGATACAGCGCAGCCATGAAGACACTTTGGCAAATGCAGGAGTTATGTTTGATAAGGAGAAGCGGGAGTATGTGTTAGTAGGAGCAGATGGCTCTAAGCAGAAAATGCCTGCTGATTTGGTTCACAGCACTAAAATGGGCAATCAGAGAGACTTGCCAAGCAAACTAGATCCTTTAGAAGGCAGTAGAGATTTTTTGTCACATGGTATGAGCCAGGGACTTGATTATAACATGCAAAGTCATGGAAGTATGAAAGAGAAGCCAACTGAGTGTCCTGACTGTGGAAGGGTTTTTAGAACATACCACCAAGTTGTTGTTCACTCCAGGGTACACAAGAGAGACAGAAAAGCAGAAGAAGAGATCATTCAAAGTAGCCTCGATGAGCGACGTGGATCTGGAAGTGATCAAGAGTCTCAGTCTGTCAGCAGGTCGACAACACCAGGGTCCTCTAACATTACTGAAGAAAGTGGAGTAGGTGGGGGTCTCTCACAGACAGGAAGTGCACAGGAGGACAGTCCACATCCTTCCTCACCTTCCTCTTCAGGTATGCTCATTTATCCATCACCAGTTTTGACTGAGAAATCAGATACAATCTTGTAGTAGTTTATATAAATTACTAGTGTTGTTTTTCCTTACAGTTCCCTCATAGTTTGTAAAGCTGTGGTGCAGCCTAGTATTTTGGGTTCTCTCTCTTTTTTTTTTAATGTCCCTTCATACTTTTTGAATGAATTCTCATTTCACTGAGAGATTTTTCATAGGTAAAATTTTCCTGGCCTTTCAGCCATGTTGCAGGAAGCAGTGTATATGAGCAGGGCTTTCACCAAGGAGGGTGTTATTCAGGGCGCCCCTTTCTCCAAGGTTCTAAAGCACCTCTGTTTTAACCCTGCTCTCTCTGTCTCTTCCGGACCCTACTATTTTCGTCAGATGGAAAGGTAAAGCAAGCTACTTTCTTTAAACTCTAGCTCTAATGGGTGTATTGTATTGGCTACAAGCCTCCTGAGAGACACAACCAGATCCTAATCCCCCACCAAGTCAGTTATTTATCTAAGAGATGCACTGCTCCCAAGTCACGTGCTGACTGGAACAAAAAAACATTAAAATCTTTTATTAGTTTTTTGATATAATTGTAATTGATATTTTAATTTTAACATGTAGGCAGCCTTCCTTTTATTCCATGTGCATTTGAAAGTATAAGAAAAATAGAAATTGAACTGAAACATTTTAATTGCATTGTATGTCATGTTAACTTGCTGTGTATAAAATAGCAAGGCAGATAATATTTCACTGAAGATGTCTATAAAATATTGAACTTCCTGATACAATTTTTAAAGTTGCTAGCCTATGACTGCAGAAATAAAATTTCCAAGTGATAACAGGTAAGATTTCTGGCCTCATCTATATTTCCAAAGCCACTTACTAATGGATAGTAAATTGAAAGTTATATCTTCAGCCCTTTATAAAGAAAGCACCTCACTAATACTGTAATCATTCTGCAAGGCTAACAACAGAGGAAATCATGCCATAACAAATACTCTGTTACTAATGGCAACATTGATTTCTGCAATCAGCCATTAAGTCTAGAAAATGAAAGACAGTTTGAGGTACCTTAAGGCATTACATTGCCCACTGTTAAGGATCTGGTAGCAGGCTGTTGAGGGTAATTCTTTTTATTTTTTTTTCAGTTTCGATAAATATTTTAGTATTGGAGGCAATTCACTGTTACAGTTATTAAGTATATGCCAGTTTATTTTTGTTGTTCTTGTCATGCTCCAGTATACTCAACTTCTAAGGCCAAATTAATATAAAAATAAAGTGTTAGTTTGCAGGCTTATTACAAACCAGTAAAGAAATTGTTAAGACACATAAATCTGCCTTCCACATTCCACGGATTCCTATAGTACTTAATGTTGTTGTTTAAATACCCATGAAACACACTGTCTACTCTCACAGTCATAGCCTCGTTCACAATTTATTAGTGGTGAGACACATTAGAAAATGCTATATAGGAACAAGGGTAACAGGCAAGCACTAATTTCATACTATGTATAGTTGTCCACATTGTTTTAAAAGGATTGAAAATATGGCAGGTTAAAGATTTTTTTTTCAATTCGTTAAAATCCTAAACATTATAAAATCATTGTTGTCTTTTTAATGTATCTTTATACATTTCATAAAGAGCATGAACATAAAGGGGTTAGAAGTAAATAATCCTTAAATCATGTAGCAAAATTCTTCTAGAATGCTTCTTGGACTTTTAAAAAAGTTTAGAGGATAACAAGAAAAAGAAAACCCAGAAGTTCTGAGACTGAATAACCTTGAACTAAATATATATTTAAATAATTTTAAAAAAACTGTGGCACCTGAAAGATAGATTCTTTGACACAAAATGTTCTGGTTCATTAAATGAATTGTTTGAGAGTCAAGGGATAACATTGCAATGTTATTCCTACTGCTGCCATTAATTTAAAATTATTAACTAAAAATCTACATTTTATTAAAACTATATACTTTCACTATTGTTACATTGATGCATTTAGAGATGGAAGCAAAATATGTGCAATATCAACCTGTGGCTTTTATATTGGAAAATACTGTTAATCATGCATGCTGGTTGATTAATTTCTGATTGTCTTCTTTAGTCTCTTACAATGAAAGCTAAAACAGTCTGAATATCATATATATTTTCATATAAATAGATGCAAGGATTTTGAGAATTTCTTCATCTGATGATAATAATATGGCATTGAGTTTTACATTAGCAAAGTCCAAATCTTCTTTTAGTCCCCTACAATTAAAAACGGTACCGCAATGTTTCCGTTGAAAGAGTTTTATCAATGTATAATGTGTGTTTTATCACTGCCTGTGAAAGATAAACCTGTAGAATACAATGCATCTCGATTTTTCAAGTAATGAAGAATTAAGTAGTAATTGAGGCTTCTATTAAGAAATTACAGCAAAACACAGTTTTACAAATTTCTCAGCCTGTATAACAATGTCTCAAAACTTAATTTGCATCACTCGATTCTTTTTTGTTGAAAACTGGGTCAGTAGGGCCTGAGAAACTATTTTTTCAGATCTTAACCAATGAATTCTTCTTTATAAATTGGTGCTCTTAACATGATAGTAGTTCTGAATTCATCATAAAAACCTTTTTACACAGTGCCTCTTAGAACAGATCTCCAGGAGAAGGCTTACAATGAGTGGCAGAGAAGTCTTTGTTATCTGATGTAATTCTTTGCAAAAGGAGGATTGGGAACATAGTGCCTGTTTAAAAATGTCTAGCTCAGGCTGAGAAGAAGAAAGGGTCAAGTTTGCAATCAAACAGTTATTGCAGAGATGTGTGACTGTCACTGGCTGGGCTAATGTGGTATGCAGCTGTTTGTTATGTGAGTAAAAGAATGTTTGAATCAGTGAACATGTGAAAATGACTCCAGTGAACCAGAAAATGTGTTTGTTCTTTAGCTCTCCAAACTGCTGAGAACTAAGCTTAAGATCAACTGTTAAAACCAGGACCTTTGACAAATTGAGAGGTCATATTTTCTAACAGAAATGGACAAAACTAGCACACAGATCATTTCCCTGTCTTTTTTCAGTGTTATCTCTTTTTTGTTTGTTTATTTGACTTACTCATAATTTTCTCGTTTCTGTTTCCATACATTACAAAGGAAAACTACTGTAAAATGTTTACAAATAACTGCTGTTTCCATATATAGAAGGCAATGAATATCTTGTGATGTTTTTGGATGGTTCTTCTCTAATTGCATGCATTCCACTGAAATTAATCTTTTAGCATCATAGCAGAAACACATCAATGTAAGGTAGTTGTCCAGTGTTATTTGTTGACATTTTATTTTAAATAAAAGTCCTATTTATATAGATTTTGCATAGGACTTACTGCATGGTATAATTAAAACTTAATGTAGTAAGAAATGATACTGTTCATTATATCCAGGAGGGTAGTACCTTCTGCATTTTCCTATAATTTTGGTGTGGGGATAATTGAAGTCTTGATAGTATGAAAGGGGTAATTGAATGCACTGACCCTCCAGTTCATTAAATAAAGTAGGCCAAGTTACATGATCAATGGAAAGCACTGGGATTAAAAAAGGAAAATAAAATACTGTCAAATATAATCACATATTCTTGTGTGTAGCAGTTGATGTTGACTTTGGCACAAATTGTTTGATCAGCTGTTTTGGAATCTTTTAGACATCTCTTTCTTGTTGAGAAGAATTCCTTCTTGCACAACATGTTTCAGCCCATATTTATGTCCATTGACAGAACACATAAAAAGCTTTTGTACTGGACATCACTGCACATACATAGAACAGACAGTGATATGATACGTTTTCCTTTTTCTTTCTTCCCCTTTCTTTAGTTCATTGATAGCCATCAAAGTGCTCAGTTTGAACAAAACAGGCAAAAAAATTTAAGTCTGAGGATTAAGATCTTCATTTTTTTTGCTTGTGCATTCCAATTGTTCTTAAAATATTTGGCAATGTCAATTAGTAACTGAGCAGAGTTAGCTGATGAACACAATTTTCCACTAGACTGAGCACCCTATTGTTGTCGAGCTAACAGCAGATTTCTGAGGTCATTATCATTCCCTGGTAGCTTGGCCCAGCTGCTTCATGCTGCAAAAGCCAAACTTTATACTGGAGCTTTGGGATAGCATGTAGCAACAGGGGGCTGGGAAGGGAGGAATGGGAAGTTGGCTGAGAAGCTGAAGAAAGTCATTATCAGCAGAGGAAACAGAAAGCAAAAGTTTCTAGGTGTTTCAAGGGAAATTGGCTTTCCAGCCTGACTTCCTGTTGCTTTTCAGCCTTTCTTTCTCCCTACCTCAAGTCCAGTTTAATATTTCAAACTAAGTACACAAGAGAGCAAACAGCAGCAATTTCTTTCACCAATCTGTACCAAGCAAAGTATTTTAACCAACCTAGTTGTTTTAAAGTTCCTTATTTCATTTTATTGGTCAGAATAAAGGATTTCAGGAGGGTGGGATGAATTCCCATTTTTGTTTAATCAATGTTAAACTTGGAAATTGCAATCTGTGAGCTCTGCTTTGATTTGCAGAATGTCATTTCCAGAAGATACCAGAATTCTTTAAATAAAAACTATTATTTAATGTAAACAGCCCCCCTTTTTTCCCTTACCACATTTTGGCATCTGATTGAATGAAATGCAAAGTTGCAGTTTTTAAATGCTCATCTGTTATAACTGATTGGCATATGCAGCCTTTCGGGCTCTGGTATAGAATATGGTACATGCTGCTCCATGTATGTAAGAAATCTACAAACGCTTGGGTGTGTGTATTAAAGCTGTATATATCTAGACATTTGGGAAAGTACTTAAAACAAAGCTGCTGTGGGTGCAGGCCTTACTAATCACCTGGCATAAATCAGATTTTACTCTTATATAAGGCACTAAATAAATGTTGTTTAAAGACACTAACAATAAAAAATTTCACTGTCGTCCTATGTTTATAGTGTAGCTGTAGCAATATGTGTTTCAGGATCCTAGGAACAATGTTGGGGAGATTTTGGA